CTGATGCCATTGTGATCAAGGCGAGACTAGTCCTTATCAGTGTATATAATTCTGTTATCAGTGATCATTTTTCTTTTTTTCTTTTTTAATAATCCTGAATATTTGCAAAGAATCAATACTGTAAAAGGATGATGGAAAATCCGTTATTTATATGATGGAGTACGTGTTTTGCCGCCATCGTGTCGGTTTAGTCACGTTGAATCATATATATATATATATATTTTTTTTTCTCTTTGTTTTAAGTTGAGAGACTTTTTTTGAGGATCTGTCCTTGACGCGCCTCTCGTCTGATTTACATGTATATATATACACACATCATTAGATACCTTCTTACTTTAAAACCTTAGCGAGTGTAGAATGAAAGCGGGAAATGTAATAACAGAAATGACAATTTTATGGCAACACTTGAGAAGAAGAAAGAGAAAAAAAAACAAAAGAGAAACAGAACACGTGCATGACGTCACGAAGCTGCTACCTTAATACTTAATACTTACAGCGGATCACGTGACCATGTATAACGTATTTCGTCCAGTAAAATAAATGCTTAGCTTAAGATTTTACACACGGAGTACCGGAGAAAAGCTCACACGACAACGTTATTAAGAGGGTTGATATTTTGTAAATGGCTTCGAACTAAGTCATGAGGAGGAAATGTGTTTTTTTTCTGTGGTATTTATAAGCCTACAGTTATATGTACAACCATGAACTTGTTTTGGCATCCTTATTGCCGCTGCAGTAATAATAAGAACAGAGAATATATATGGACTTAATGTGTGACACGAATACTCGCATATTTTCGTACTATAGTGACTTCTTGTCCTCTCACAGCAAAACTGTTGTCAATCACATTGTACCAATTCATTGTTATGTTTACAGTTTTATATGCATTTAGGAGTGTGCACGTTTAGCTGCCATGCTTTCCCGTTGTGTCTGCATTTCCCCGTTTCCTTATGTCTCGTCACAGGCGGAGTCTAACCCTGGACGGTAGAAGCTTCCTTGTAAAACGTAATATGATTTATGTTATTTCTACTGGATAGAAAACACACCCTTTTAATGCTAAATTATGTCTATATATTTATACATATATATGTCTGTGTTATACCGATATGTATAGTTTATATATCAGAAGCTGTATGTATGTATATATTGGAGGAAAGGGAATAATACTTTCAACTGTAAAAATCAAACTACCAATCAAATCACACTGGTTGTCACCTTGCGCCCGACGCCCTTCATCACTTCCGTTAAGTTACCACGATCGATCCCTGAAGGGCTCCCTTAAGATGGACGACGGGCCCTGGAAATTTGAACATTTGTTAAATAAAGAAATATACAGGTCGAGAATTTTCCTTTCCCTTCGTGTTGGTAACAGGTACGTTGATTTGGCTAACTGCGCCATTTGATTTGTGTGTGTAGTCTCAGCATACAGTGAAAGGAAGAAAGAAAGAAAGAAAAAAAACCCGGAGTGTTGGCACTTTGTTAAAGCACTTGCAACATTTCACAATCACACCAGAATACATTCTCCTTATTTCACATCCTAGGTCGTCTAGAACATCCCTGCAGTACCTAGTAATCACTACCCCAACATTTAGCTTGTCACCCGACATGTAAACAGGAATGGGAGATACTTTACATTTTCCTGTTCCGTCTGTACACCAATGGATTCATAAATGTTTCCTTGATCCTTAGCTGCTTAGGTCTTAGGTATTCTAGAAGTCTACATAATAACATAATAATTCTAGATAGTATTCTACATAATATCTACATAACATCTAGCGTTCCATGTCGTTCCATGCCCCTGTGTAAAGCCAAAACCAACTAAACTAAATCACTTTCCACAGCTACAGCTCCTTTTCTCGTTTGACCTGAAGTGTTCCGTGGGAAGTTTTATCTTTTATTTATTCATTATTATCATAATTATCAGATTTTGAAAGACTCTCCAAAAGATTATCCAAATCCGTTGACAAACCTTCGCTTCCTTCAACTGGAAACGTAACAATCTTTCCAAGTCGATACTGCACCTTTAGTGATCTTTCCTTGAGAGCTCACTACACAAATCTTGGGTGCGTGGGAATAACTGCTAAGCCAAGGCGTTAGTAATACCATGTAATTCTTGAGTGTGATAATCTCATGACCTCGTTCATTGACTGTCATCTCTTTAGGACCAGTTATTACTTGTTATGAATAGTGCAATGGCGTCCATAGCTATTGGACAAGAACACTTTAGAGAAAGATTCCAGTTTATTGATATGTAAGAGATAATCATATGTGGGTATTGTGGGGCCCCGAGTTGGGAACCCCTGTTCTAGGAGAACGTTATCAACAGGCATCTCTCATTATCCTAAAATGTATGGGTGTGTGTGTGCACACATTATATATATATATATATATATATATATATATATATATATATATATATATATATATATTTGTGTGTGAGTGTGTGTGTGTGTGTGTGTGTGTGTGTGTGTGTGTGTGTGTGTGTGTGTGTGTGTGTGTG